CTGAATGATGTAGTTCCCATAGGCTTAATACAGGGACCACCCGGTTCCAGTAGGCAATGGGGTAAGTGTGCGAAACATGATATTCTACAATTGTAAATAATCGTTCATAGTTCGTTTATTGCGATAAGCAGATGACCTGATCCAGTAGTTGGGGTGGGGTGGGAGGTCAGGCCTACCACAACGACAACAAATCTTCAAGCCACCCAAATGTTCCTGATTATAAATGGAACTAGAAATGCAATCGTGTCACAACGATGTGCGTGCAATGACGCCATGTTTATACGTGCCAAACGAAGGAGCTACTCTCGGACTATCCAGAGCAATATGTAAGAAGTCTGTAGCTTCTGTGATAGTGGAGATAGTTACGGCGAAAGAAAGGTCACCAAAACGGCCCTAAACGGGAAAAAATGGTGCCTGGACGGTCACGCATGAGGGTTTTTGGAGAACGAAAAATTTAGTGGCCTTGAAGGAATGCTAGAGACTACGCCTACGAATTTTGAAGGGAATTGGAGTAGAGGAAGGGATCTAGAAAGGGCTCGCAAGCACTGCGTGCAAAACCAATGGGACTTGGTGCATGATGAACATGTTGCGACGCGTGCTTTGGCACGAACGGCCGCCCATACTAACACAACCGAACAACAGTCTTTAAAAATGACGTCATGGCCGAAACGTGTTATAATAGGGCGGAAACTCGGAGGAATTCGTATAGTGACCCTTGTTCAAATGCGATTTACTCACAATTTTCTGCGTGAACATATACCATACTTGGTATTATTCGAAAGGGCACTTCAGTGCGGTCAGTTTGACACCATTGTCATCTGCGCAAAACGTACTACACGCATCAAACGCGCTATTACGTAAAGCATAGGAAATTCATCATTTTTGGCGATAACTTGGCGAAGAGGGCATTACAATTTATTTAGCAGACAGTTGTCACGTATATGGATACATGTGTCTGCCAGGTTGCATTGATGTAGGTCTAAAGATCACCATTTTAGAGCAAGTTGAAGTTATTTCGGAATTTTCTTGAAAATGGCGAATTTGGAGGGCAACTTTCTCAAATTTGGTCAGTGATAGGGTATATAATTTTGAATATGGCTGGAAAGGGCATATCTTCAAGTATCTAAATCCAAAAAAGGGTACGGGTTAGCCGAACCATTATGGAGATACGGCCACAGAGAGAAAGCCAATTCCTAGAACTTTAGAGGGCGCTATTTATGTTTTGCAAAGCTATTGGAGCGTGAAATTTGACATGGCTATGTGCAAATATGAGATAAAGATACTGTAAGATTTATATACAAAACTGAATTTATATGAGAAAGTTATGGCAGTTTTAGATTATTTAGGGGTAAACTTTTCAAGAATTTGAGAGACTTTTGACGGAGTCGGTTTCAGATTTGAATTTTGAGTACGAAGATGGCATTTTGAAGGTCAGGTTATTTGTCGCAGATAAAAGAACATCTCTTAGACTATCTAGAGGAATTTGTTAGAAGTTTGTAGGATCTAGGATAGTGGAGATAGGAAGGAAGAAAGAAAGGCCTCAAAATGGACCAGAAACGGACAAAATGGCGCCTGGACGGTTATGCATGAGTGATTTCGAGAATCGAAGATTGTAGTAACCTTGATGAGATGTTAGAGACTATGCCTATGAAATTTGAAATGAAAAGGACATAAGGAAAGCACCTAACTAGGAATAACAAGCACTACGTGCAAAACGAATGGGATTCCGGACGACAAGAAGGAGAAGAAGGAAGAAGAAGTAAGAATATTAATAAGAAGAATGTGAAAAAAAACAAGGCAATGACGAAGGTCGTCATTGCAATAAAGGGAATCCGATGCACGAGTGCAAATTGAATGCAGGTAATCCAAAGCGCCCCTCTCCCCATACACCATATCCAAATAAATATACTTCTAGAGGACAAGGTGGATGGACCAGAAGAAGTGTGATGGCATACCGGGCACAGACATAAATCATTTCTTCGATCAAGTAGGGATGACAAGTCCAGTGTCTCGCGGGCAGCGTCATATGATGTGAAACAAGGACCTAGGATGATTTTTAGGGTTCTCCTCTGGATCCTTTCTAGAGGTGCAATCTGCTGTTTTGTGAGTCAGTTATTCCACACAGGACACGCATACTTCAGGAGTGGCCTGACCAGGCGCGTACGCAAGGGGGGGGGGGGGGGGGGTTGGGCTGACCCCCCCCCCCCTTTGAGATTTAAAAAAATAATAATAATAAATAAATTATGCCAATGGCTGTCCTAAAAAAGGTGACCTTACCCCCTTCCCCCCCCCCCAACGGGACAAAATGTCAATTTTTCAAATTTCGACACCCCCCCCCCCCCCAAAAAGAAAAAAGTGTCTTACCCCTTCTTACTCCTTCAATCTATCCTTTTCTCCTTCGTCATATATTTCTTTGTTTTTCCTTCAATCTATCATGTTCTCCTTTTTTTATATATATTGCTTTGTTGTTCCTTATATTCTACTTATACGTATAGTTCTTTATACTATAGTCTACACTTAGCTCTTATGAGTCCGTTAGGTAGTTCTATGTTCTTCCTTTGACTTTTCCTTTTCTCTTTAGTTATATATTTCCTTGTTTTTCCTTCTCCATATCCTCTCCACTATCCTTGTTTTCCCTTTTCTACCATCTTCCCTTCCCTGGGTCAATTAACGTGCTTGCACATATAATAGTGCGCTGACGACTTAGAGGCTGTTCACACCGGCAGAGATAGCGCGCTAGACCGCGCTATCTCTGCGGTGTGGGAGGTACAACGTCGTTTTGGTCCGCCCAACAGCGAGCCACGGCGAGCCAAAACGGCGTACCACTGGAGCACCTCTTGGGGGTGGTCCACGAGAGATAGCGTGGTCTAGCGCGCGCTAGAAAAAAGGGGGTGCTACGATAGACCGCGCTATCTCATTGCGGTGTACGTGTTCACCGCAGTGAGATAGCGCGGTCTATCGTAGCACCCCCTTTTTTGAGAGGTCCTGTTGCCATGACGCGTGACGTCATGAGGTAAGAGCGGTCAACACTTCTAGTTCGTAATAGCGCGCGAAATCTTTGACCGCTCTGACCTCATGACGTCACGCGTCATGGCAACAGGACCTCTCAAAAAAGGGGGTGCTACGATAGACCGCGCTATCTCACTGCGGTGTGAACACGCCCTTAGACTCTTTCACCAGAGCACTTCTAGGAATTTTTTCGTGAAAATGGCTAAACAGTTGTGTAAAAAGATATGCGCCTCCCGGATCGAGTTTGGCACATTGTGGCGAATTGGCCTACTGTTTGTTGGGAAAGCACGAATCAAAAGAATATATGCCCTTCTGTGACCAACTGAAACCAAGTTAGCCAAACTCTGTGGACAACCCGTGCCGTTGTTAAGTGTGTTCTTAGATGGCTCTGCATGTGGACCATAGCGTTTGAAGAGAGATAGTTGTGACACGCTTACTCGTTGTTATGCCAGTCACACCTAAAAATCTACTCAATATACCGACTTCAAACTGACCGATTCTTGAACATCTAGGATAAAGGAATTTTGTTCTGTCTATTGCCGGGATGATGTAAATCTTCTCGGAGCAATTCCAGTATCATTATCAAGATTACGATAACTACATGTATGACTTAGTAAGAATAAATTGTAAGCTTTTATTGCGCTCACTCTTTTTTAATCTAGTGATCCAGTTTTCTATTGTCTCGTCATGCTAATACAGGCAAACCTACTTTAGCGACCACATTTTGTGTTTCCCTTGAAAATGTTTTCTCGTTGAAACATGTACTCTAGGCACATGTGAACCACTTGCCATTATGCTTGTCTCCCCTTGGGTGGTCTTTATAGACAGGTTTCACTGTATAAACATCAAGTGACATATATAGCTATAGAAAGAAGAAAAGGAGGCTGAAAGTGCAAGAGAAAGTCTATAGAGAGAGAAAGAGAGAGACTATGTAGTGGGCTACGATTCATAATGAAACACATCATCTTACAAAGTCATATCAAAATATGATTCGTTTAATGTAAACTGTAGCAATTATTAAAGAAAAGTCAATTTCATGAACGGCAAATTCCAAATAAGTTTTCATTTATTGCAGTACAATAATTCCAGATTAGGATATCATCTTTTTCCGAATAACGATTTGTTTTCCCTTCAAATATTTATATTATTTTATTCTGTGAGGAAGAGATAAGAAATTGGCTTCAATTTTTTTTTTGTCGACACGCTTAATCCATGCATAATTCATGAAATGTAAACTTCAGAAGAAGCCACGATGGACCAGTGGTACCAGAGCAGTGGTGACGTAACCGAGATTTCCCGGGCTCAAAACCAAGCCCATGCACTAGTGCCCTTTGGTAAGGTATTAATCCTCATTACCATATCAAAAGTCACTTGGTTGCTTACTTTTAAAAAAAATCAGATACCCTTTTTGGGGGCTATTAAAACCAACCCAACAACCAATAAAGCATACGCCGTCTTTAATAAAATTAGACCTTAAATATAAATATGCATATTGTTTTTCGAATAATACATTATGTTCCCATCACCGTTTAATGTTTCTTTCTTTTTTTTTACTTTGGACAAATGTGCAAAATTCAAATAATAAAGCAAAGAATATATTTTACGAAATACATGAGACAAATTTTAAAATTCCACCGCAGTCAGCAATTAATATGGTTGACATAAGATAGCTACACAAAATATATGTATTGTTCTTAATAATACGTGTTAATGACACTGAATATTTTGATCGCAATGATAACAATGATGGCGAGGATGATGATGGTAATACAGAAAGATGTATATGGGACAACAACACACATGATGTCGGGGTGAGTACTACTCTGATTTCCTCATCTTTCTATACTCATTACTCAGCCAGTATACATTTTCTTCCAAAATTGTTTGGCACATGACATTTATTTGTAATCTTGAACATTCAGTGTAAGTTTCGTTAGATTCTGTGAGAATTCATTTTCTTTTTTTACCAGAACTCAAGTTTATCTTTAAGTATAGGTATTCTATAAAACGAGGTTTATTCCTGGCTTCTGATGTAAAATATTCCTTACACAAATGTACAAGAGATCAAGATAAATGAAGATATTCTTTGCATGATGTATAGCCTTTCAGCATGACATGGATGCAGTCATTTCATTGAAGCTGTCACGTACTAGGCGAAGTACATGCACCATGCATCAAGCTTTACCTGGAAAGACTTTTTAATTCATCAACAAAACCGTTACTTTCCAATAAGGAAAAATCATAGCTGAGCAGGTTAAAGTTATATTTGGTGAAAAATATGTAACAGGGAACAATCAGTGTAGTACATTTGTTTTACAATACAAAGAAATATAACAGTTGACAAATCTTGTTAATTCATTCGAAACCTTTACCCCCAAAAGAACACAAACTTATTTATGCAATTTACGCTCTGGTAGTTGTAGTAGGAAGGTGAATAGCAGGTGAATAAATGCTTCATTCCACACACACCTGGGAAGAAAATATCCATTAATTTGAATACATTTACTTGATTACAAGACTAAGCGTACATCACGTTATCAAGAAAATGGCGAAGCCCATGTCGAGCTGAGAAACTGTATTATTCTTGAATTAGGATGTTCTTAAACACTTTGGCGAGGTATCTTGTCGATTAATGGGCACGACTACAACAAACCTGTCAGGATCACCAATGTTTATTCTCGGGTTAAGTTTTCCATAATTGCAAATGTCAGAATAAAGCATAAACTATATAGAATGATATAAGAAACATGAAGAAAAAAAACACTAAGGAAGTACAGTTGAAGGAATGACAAGTCATTGCGATCCGTATAAATCATTTTCCACCATTTCAGTTGTATCCCCATCATCTTCCTGTTCAAACCTTGGCTTGTTCGGCATAGCGTACATGGCTTCAAGGTCATCTGTATGTGGAAGAACTGGGACATGCTGGGACACTTTGCTTTTCCTGTTCTTCTCCGGTACCGCATACAAATCCCCAGCATCCTCCTCGCACTTATCCGGAAGCGATTGCGCTGATGCATCATGGGGCACTTTGCTCCGTCGGCCCTTTGCTGGTACGGCATATATGCTCCTCGCATCCTGTTCCTCGTCTCCGCCGTCAGGTCTTGGACGATGTTTCGTCGACACTGCATACAACCCGTCAAAATCGTCTGCCTCCTTCGAAGTTACTGCGTTTTCACCTGCTGCGTCGTATGTCGGGTTTCGGTGGCTAGACTCTGGTTCCATTACTCCTGGCTTGCCTCTAAACTTCAGGTTGACATATTCTACCAGCGTGATTCGTCTCTTTATTGGGGCCGGGAAGGCATCCTTCTCAATCTCACCTTGCTGGTCGTCCTTAAGGATATAATTATAGTAATATCCAATATTGAGAGGGGATATATCCAAACAATTAAAAAAAAAAAGCATCATAACGCTATAACGAGAGGATCAAAAGCCTAAAGAGGATCATAATAATTATAAGCCTACAAATTAAGTAAACATATCAAATGTGTTATATCACCAGGGTAGGGGGGGGGGGGGGGGGGTGTTCAAGGATTTTTTGAAAACACGAAGACATGTTATGATTCTGATTTACTGATGAAAAGTCGGTCTACATTCTTTATGCAGGCACAGACTACAAAACTTCGTTCAATTGACGAGAGTCTGCGTTTGGGAATAATTAATTTAGTTTTGTCAATTGCTGAGCGAGGATAACTAGTATAGGGGTTGTTATTGAAATATTCTGATGACAAACATAACAAAGTATTAAGGATTTTGAAGACATAAAACAAACAAGGAGACCTTAAACAGAGTAATTGCAAGTACAGTAGTAACCCATGGATCTCCTAGCCCATGTAAGGTATGAGTCCTAGATTCTATGCCAAATTCTAAGTTTCGCGGCTAGATTCTGGATAGTTTACCTTCATGCTCATGCGCCGTGTGTCACTATCACCATAATCTTGGTCCTGTTTCAGTTTGCACCTACGGAGGGAGGGAATGAATAAAGAGAAAAAACAATCTATGTTAAACACAATGGCCGGGTAGACTCATTATCACTGACTGAATTGTTTCTCAGTACACTTTGCAATTAATTTTTAACAGTAAAGTGTTTGTCAGAGAGTATATCCGGCGTCATGTTATTCCCCCTCCCCCCCCCCCCCCCCCCCAATAAAAAAAACTCATCTTGTGTACCTCGCTTTTAACATGTTAAATTATTAAGTGCATTTTTCTTTTAAAGAGAGGATCATCATCCCAAACAAAATACAAAAAACTGCCTAAAAGAAGCTTTTAAAAGTTGTGTTTTTGAAATATCTTAGATATTACAATATACTGATGATTTATTGAATGTGAATTCACATCTGCGTACGCGTACATAATTCAACATTTAAAGGACTATTCATAACTTTTGAAAGTCCCCATACTCACTTGCATCTATAGACAAGAATGATGACAATGATAAATACCACCACTGCTGCTACAACTCCACCACCTATAGCTGCATATGGAGCTGTGTGTAAAACAAGTACCCAATATCGTTACCATTTACCGACAGGAATATGGAGTAAGAGCAGTAAAATGCATACCTCTATATTGTGTTCAGAGAGGGAAGTAGAGAATATGGCACCCGAACATTCTGAGTCTTCTTTTTCCTTGTTGTCTCGGAAAAGAAGCTCTAAAAATACGGCACCATACAAATGCTTATCATATCATTATTGTTGTCTCTTCTATTATTTTCATCATCATCTTTGTCATTATTAATTGATAATTGCTACATTAAAGTTGTATTACGTTTTCCCTATTTTATACGAATAGCTCGAACACTCTAAAAAATATTGGGTAAAAAATTGCCAATTTTTTACCCAACTTGAGGGCGATTATGTGTCCAACCAACTATTGGGTAGATTACAGATTTGTGCATGATTTACCCGGTGCTGGACAAAAAGAAAATGCCCAACTTTTAACCAACAAAAATTTACCCAATCAGAAATTCACCCAATCCTCACCATAATGTCTAGCATATATTAGACACTAGTCGGGCAATTAAGTTGGATAAAATATTATATGCAAAAGGACATTAGTGCCGCGACTCGAACCACGGACCTTGTGATCTACAGTCGTGTGACAAATCCACTCGACCATGACACCTCTATTAAGATTATAACATTATTGTTGTAAAATAATGTTACCCGACTGACGTTTGCCCAGTTACATCTGCCCAGTTACATCTGCCCAATGTATTCTGTAAATACATGTACCTGGTATTAATGTTGGTAGAAAATAACCGAAAATAACATTCCCCAATTATTTCATCGGTTGCTACATGGTTGGTAGGAAATAACCCAATTGTTGGACGACATTTGCCCAACATCGATGTGCCAAGTAACACCTAACCAACCTATGTTTTACCTTTCATGAGGTAACTTCATACAGTAAATGGTTGGGAGAAAAAAAATCCCAATTATCGGACAAGATTTGCCCAACTTCGATTTACCCAGTAACATCTGCCCGACTTTTTAGCAGTGAAGGTATCGATTAAAACGTGTTTAGTTGCGAACACTTGTACATGAACGAGATTTCTTTCTTGTTATCACATTATGCCTATATAATACGACATCGGTATATCTTAATTTTCAATCCAATTTTCAAGAACTTGCTTACTCATGGTACTCCCTTCAGGAGGAGACGATGAGTCGCTAGTTAGACCAGGTCCAGAAACCGTTCCAGAGAGACTCGTGACGATGGAATTGGTCGGTCCTGCGATAGAATCTGATGTGGTTCCTTTGGTGGTAACAGTCAGTCCTACTTGAGAAGTGCCTGGCTCTGTAAATGTAGTCGGTCCTCCGTCAGAGGTGATGGTTTCTGTAGATACAGTTACTTTTTTGTCAGAGGTGAATTCAGGCAACAAGTAATTTATAAGCAATTGAGCATCGTTCAGATATGTTGTGGTAAACCACTACGTTTTCTTGTTTTGTTTTTTGAATTATGACGTAAGTGTAGCAACCTTCACATTTCTGTATCTTAAAACACATAACTAAGTAATTACACGTTGGAACTTCGTTGCATGCAGTAGTCATTTACTTACACGTTTGAAGAAAAATCACCACAGTTTAAATTACATATCTGAAATAGCTTTTACTTTACATTCCATATGGAAACGTTGTATCATCCGCTCAATCTGACTTGCGTGCATAGAACAAAATAAGCATTTTTCCATGAAAAAGTGAAGTTTTCTAAAATGTGCGTTTCTTTCCAGCATTGGGGCGCCCGGAAGTCACTCGGGTAACATTTCATAAAGTATAATATAAAAATACCATATGCAAATTTTCTGTACTTTTGTCGGAAAAAATACATTTATCCAGCACAATGTCGTCTCTTTTTGCGTTGGAGAAGAGCAAATAGCGAGTTTCAATCACACTTTGGCCGATCTCGCAAGCTCTCACTCGTTTCACTGTTGTCAAGAGACTTTGGGGGCAAGCGGTTAATGAAAATACTAATCGTTAGCTTTCTTTTGGTATCAAACTTATTTTGATTGATTGTATAATTCTGTCGGAATAAAGGAAACAAAAATGCTCGACCAACAACTCATCAGCGTCTGAATTGACCTTTTGACCTTGAATTCCCTGATGCAAGCGCACTAATGACGTGATCTTTGCTAAATCGGTGTCTTTTATCGTAAAATGCGACACTTTCACAATGTTTATACATCTTTTTTTAATTATTAGTAAGATATAACATATTTTTTTCTGATATCACTGAAGTTTTGGGTTTCATTTAATGAGTAATTTTAAAATAAGAGCCATTTTATTGTTTTAATTTACTGGGTCGTACCATTAAAGTTGTAGGGTAGAAAGATGCATTTTCCAACCGCGCCAAATTTAATTTACGTTCCGACATTATGTTAAATGGGTTCGTGTTGTTAAGAATCCACCGCTTTCTGCTCCAACAAACGTCCACATGCGGAGTCGTTTATCAACTAAATTATTCAAATTTATGGATGCTTCCTAGCTTCCCAGGTGTTTGTGGTGCTGTTGAAGCATTTCATTCACCTGCTATCATTCTTTGTACTCCAACTGCCAGAACGCAAATTTCATTTTGGTTTTATAGTTTCATCGGAGTCGTTTATCATATATATGTATTCAACTTTATGAATGCTTCCTCCCCAGGTGTTTGTGGTGTTTATGCATTTCATTCACCTGTTATTATTCTTTGTACTCCAATTGTTAGAATACAAAATGCATTTTGGTTTTTATATAGTTTCATGCAATAAGTAAGTCAATAAAAGAGTATGTTCTGCACAATAAAAACAATGTGTGTCCCTATTGTACAATGTAATGTGTCCCCTCATTTTGTAATAGTTAATTTACCCATTCACATAATGGAACTACCTGCCCGATGAAGCAATTGGCCTGTGACCCCTGAGCACTCAACACCGTGTGGGAGTCAGTTCGTGCTCATATTCTTTTATGAGACAAATACAAGCAAACGTTTCCATATGCATGAACTCATAGCAAATACGATAATTACTCTCTTGTTTTGAGGACCAAAGTGCTAACGTCATATTCGCTCGTCGTCCAGGTAACTGGTTCTAAACTACAGAGCATGCGCATGAGGTACATCGGGAAATCATCCAAGCAACGGGTTGGAGCAGGGCAAACTTAGTGTTTGGGGGCCCAGTGTGATCAACACACCATTGTTAATAAAGCACAAACTTGTTTGGTACCAACAACCTTGACAGCTTGGCCAGTATGATGTCACACTTCTATATCCCATATAAACATGTTTGGATTACGTGATGCGTCATTTAAATGTTTACACATTTAAACAGATGTAAGAGACAATGGTGTTGGAATCGATTGATTGATTGATTTTCTCGAAAGTCTTTGCGCTAGTTATAGTAGTAAACGTGATAAAAATAGGACGACGGTAGTAGCTTTAGGTGTGTGCATTGACGTTATGTTTAATTTACAAGTGCAATATGCCTGTTTGCGGTGATATGTGTTCTTCGTTGGGCCTCAAAGGTACTTTGTGTGGAAGCTTCCAAATATCACAATCAACAAAAAGAAGTTTTGTCCCCAACACTAGGGTAATTTCAAAGCTGAATGACTTAAAACATTTGGAAATATGAATAGCAACTGCAATAAGAACAAAAACAGATATTGTCATATTATTTCCATTTATACATCAACAACCTTCAAGGCCTACAAAAAAGCATGAGTTTACATTGAAAATCATGGATCTTGACCAAATTTAAGTTCCATAAACATGATATCATATTTACATGAGAATGATATCAACACTCCAAGAATCTCGATACTCACTAGACAACCCAGAAGTTTCCTGTGAACTTGTTGTTTGAACTGTGCTTTCAGTTACCTTCGAAGACATGGTAGAAATTGGTGGAGTCGTCATACTACACGGTGAATCCATCGGGCTAGGGGAGAGGTGGGGATTTGCCGTAACTACAATAAATTAAAAGATGGAAATCAGGGCTGAATAATCAACGTAAACGAGTGGTTGTTGCATCAATTGTCCATTGATAAAACAATGATTACCGTTTTAATTTATATGTTTCCAGCTCAATACGACGAAAATATCATTGGTAAGTAGCTGTAGTTTATCTTCCAGCCACATGTTTATAGTTTAAGTTGGAGCTATAACAGATGAACGAAATAATAAGAGAAATAGAACAGTCTCCCTAAAAGACTTTGTATAATTCAATTTTTAAACTCTGTGGCTTTTATCGATATGAAAACAGGTTACTCAGTTTTGGTGATGAGAATTTCGAATAGGTCTAGTGGTTTTTCTGTTGCAAATTGTCATTATTCTGTAATAGATTGTGAAACCATGTGTACTTACGATTAAATATCGCGATATAGAGAACAGTTTTCCTAAAAGACCATGCATGATTCAATTTTGGAACTCTGTGGCTTTGTTCGATAGGCGAAAAGAATACTAAGTTTTTATGATGGGATTTTCGATTAAGTCTAGTACTTTGTGTGTGGAAATGTTCATTATTCTGTAATAGATTCTAAAATAATGTGAACTTACGATTAAATATCGCGATATGGCCAGTTCCACCACAACTCTGGTACTGATCACCATCACATGGAAAGTGGCATTGACTATCTGATGAGACTGGTCCATGTTTTCTGTAGTTTGATGATGAATCACCGCAATAACACTCCTTTCCACTCTCCAAACCAGCAAACAACGTGTCAGGAAACGATCGACAGAAATCTAAACATTTATCAATAGTAAGTCCTTCAAAGCTGGCGTTTTGGGGGCCGTTTAGCACACGGCCACCACCTGTCATGTCTGTATAGCAGCCCAGGTAGTTACTACCTACAGCATAGAAACGTGAAAGGCCCAGAGAAGTGTTCTAGCAAGAAATATCTCCAATTTCATTTTGATACATGACTCCATCGAAGATTAGTCACTTAATGATAATAGTTATAATTATAATAATGGTAATACTAATAATACTTGAAGTGATAATAATCAGGGCACCCTTTGTTTTCTGTACAACTTCTATAGGGTGGCGCACAAAAAGTAGAAGTGAAATAACAGAAATGAAATCAAAATGATAAAAAAAGTATGCATATGCCCCCGCAATCTAAACGTATGTTTGTTTGTGATGTATTCAAGATTATACAAATTTCAGCCTCAGAGATAAAGTATGTTATTGTATTCAATAAAATACCGTAGCACACAGCTCCTCCCGTTGAACCACCTAATGGGCATCCCGGCGTCAAAGTGCAACTTGTTATGTCTCCTTCGGTTTCGCCTGAAAATAAATTATAATGAAACAGTATAATTGTATTAGGCTATTTAATTAGTTTGATATAGGTTTCTTGTAGCTTCCTCGAAGAAGATCTCCAACTATAAAATAAATTGTTTAAATGAAATCAGGACAATAGATAACTTAATAGGTTATACGGACAGGACAATATATCTGTAGAGATCATTTTATAATGGAAATTTATGAAGCTCTGCTGATCAGTGCTGGTTCCGTAATCTCTTAAACTGTACTAGTGGCTCTACCGCAAAACCCCCTCTACCGCCACCTCAGGTAATCTAGAGCAGTATATGGTTACATTATAACTAGCTGCTTGCCTATTTTCGTTCTCGCATGCAATCCTCCGATTTATATTTGCGAAGTGGAAATTTGGTAACGCACTGTTGGCAACTTGACCTCGAGATGGCGCTGTGCAATAAATAGTTTGCTAGGGCAGAAAGTTCATTTGTTCAGTATCTTTGTATCATGTTTGCAATTGTTGAATCATCCAGATCATGTGAGCTCCAGTTTTTTAAAGTCAACCGCCTAATTGAGGAATTCCCTAAAGGCGTTACATTTCATCGAGGCCCTTTACCGTGGCCCATATTATATGGCACGAGGGATATTTTGCTTTTCTCTTTTCTTTCAATTTCGATGTGAGTATGTTATATAAAACTACTATATCTTTGTTAACATAAATAAACGGACTTTACTGCTCATGACTAAATTCTTTTCGAATCGTTATTTCGCGATGTAAGTCAGGTAATGTTCACTTAGTCAATTAACTAACTTGTTTCTCCATAAAGCGTTCAGTAACAAATATTTGATACACCCATTATATATCCTATGATATGAATTCATTGGGAATGAGCTAATTATTAGTTTGTAAGTTTTATCCTGTGATCATGATGATGTGAAGGTATATATTTCCTCTCTCTATTTCATGATAAAAATTTAGTTATACTT